ATCATGAAGCCCAAAAATTTTCCTGAAACCACACCGAATACACACTTCTCTAGGTTGAGCTTCATTCAATATTTTCATAGGGTGGCGAACACTTCCTCAAGGTCGGATATGTGCCGCTCTACCTTCTTACTCTTTACCACCATGTCGTCAACATAGGCCTCAATGTTCTTCCCTATCAACTTGACGAAGACTTTGTTGATGAGCCTCTGATGTGTTTCCCCAACATTTTTCAACCCAAATGGCATCACCCTGTAGCAGTATATGGCTGAATCAGTCATGAATGAAGTCTTTTCTTGGTCTTCCTTGGCCATGAGGATTTGATGATATCCTGAGAATGCATCTAGGAAGCTGTACAGCTTATGTCCGGATGTGATGTCCATAAGATTGTTTATCCTGGGGAGCGAGTAACAGTCTTTAGGGCATGCCTTATTGAGATCCGTAAAGTTGATGCAGACCCTCCATTTGCCACTGCCCTTGTTCACAAGAACAACATTAGCAAGCCAATCGGGGTAGTGGACATCCCTTATGAATCCCGCTCTCACCAGTTTGCCGATCTCTTCCTGAATGACCACACGTCTTTCTGGCGCAAACTGCATCTTCCTTTGCTTAACAGGTTTGGCCCCTGGGCTTATGTTGAGCCTATGGACCGCCACTTCGGGGTCTATCCCTGGCATATCCTCAACCTTCCATACAAAAGCATCGATGTTGTGGGACAGGCAATTGATGACTTCCTCCCGGAGGCTATCTTTAAGATCGCAACCAATAGTTATCGTTTTTCCATGCTCGAGCTCTACCACTTCTGATTCCTCAATCGGGGCAAGTCTACCCCTTGGCTCGAGCTCGAGGTCTGAATGTTGCATGACGTCTGTACTCATTCCTCGGATGCTAGTAACATAGCATTGTCTGGCAGCTATTTGGTCTCCTCGAACTACTTCGATGCCATGGCCTATTGGGAACTTCATGGCTAGGTGGAAAGTTGATACAATTGCTTGGATCTTGTTTAGTAGGGGTCTTCCGAGAATGATGTTGTAAGCCATAGGAGTGTTAACCACTTGGAAGGGTGTGATCTCCGTCACTTGTGCATTACCAGAGCCTAATGTAAGCGGAAGCTCGACGATGCCCTCCGGGATAATGACTCCACCACCAAATCCCTGTAGAGGAGTTTTTACCGCTTTGAGTTGCTTGGGAGAGAGCCCCATTTTAGTGAAAGCCTCCTGTGAGAGTATGTTTGCTGCACTCCCATTATCAACCAGAATCCTCTTTACTTTAAAGTTAGCCACAATTGCAAAAACGACCAAGGAATGATCATGAGGATATGATACTCCTTCCATATCTCTTGCTCCAAAGGTAATGTCTTCGAGTTTATTATGGGATTCCTTTGAGGTATGAGCATGTTGGCGGGCATATTTCTTTCGCCCACTATTTGTATCTCCTCCGGATGTTATGCCTCCAATGATAATATTAATGGTCCCGGTAGTGGGCTGAACACTGCTTCCGGCTCCAAGCTCTTTTTGATTGTCATGGTCATTCCTCGGGCGTTTATCATGATCGATGTAATTCCTTAAGAGTCCTCTTTTAATGAGGGCTTCAATTTTCTGCTGCAAAGCTTGACAATCCTCCGTGGTATGCCCATGATCTCGGTGAAATTCACAATACTTGCTCCTCTCTCTTGTGTCAAGGGACGACTTCATTCTTGAAGGCCACTTCAATTCTTTCATATCTTTGATCTCCATTAGGATATTTGCCTTAGAGGTGTTTAATCGGGTGAGAGGCGCTAGTGGACCTTCATTCTTGCGCTTTTCCCGCGGATATTCTGGCCGGGAAACGGGATCTATTTTTCAGCTTGGGTGAGGAGCTCGATCACTGTCTGCTGCGGGGTCTTTGATAAGGACATGTTGAAAGCTTCACACCTTATGGCGTAAGTGAGGGCAGAGACAGCTGCTGTGATGTGAAGGTTGGGTATTTGAAGCCTTTCTTTGTTAAACCTCGTTATAAATCCTCGTAGGGTTTCATTTGGTCCTTGGCGAAGTTGCATGAGAGAGGCGCAGTTTTTCTAATTCGCTTGCTATTTGCAAAGAAGGCTGAGATCTTATCAACCAAATCTGAGAATAAGGCTATGGAGTTAGACTCCAATGTCGAGAACCAATCCCTAGCAGCATTCGTCAGCGTTTGCGGGAAGGCTTTGCACATAACCTGATCCGGTGCAACTTGCAAATTCATGACATCAGTATATACATTGAGATGGTTGATTGGGTCGGTTGTCCCATCATACTCTTTAATGCGAGGATATTTGAATTTGTCGGGCAGGGGATATGACAATATCTCCGACGTGAATGGAGCGTTAGGGGTAAAACCCGTTGGCCCCGGAGCATTCCGTTGTAGGCCAGTTATAATTCCTTCTTGAATGATTCGGGCAATCGCACCAGAATTCATGGCGATCGATCTCGAGCGCGATGCCATATTGCGAATACCCGAGGTTCCTACTCCGCTAGTTGCGGGGTTTGGTGTTCGGACTCGAGCATCAGCCATAAAACCACCATGCTCTGCCTGCGCTGGTGACGGATGCCAATTTCTTTGACTTAACAGTTGTATGAGCTTGGCCACCTGCTGACGAAGCTCTTCAAAGGCTTCGGTTGTGACGACCGCCGGCAGAGGTGCGGACACTCCTGACGACTCTTCTTGAGGAGACGGTTGATCTTCAGCAGGATGAGGGATGAGAACGGATGAACTTGCGGGAGGAAGACGTAATCGCGTGTTAACCATGGCTTTTGGTAGCGTTTCCCACAGACGACGCCAATGATGCTACCAAACATCGTACCTGTTGATTTCTCGAGCTTGAGGATTTTGAATGAGCACGATTGTAGTCTTCGGATTCCTGAAACAAAGGCAACGAGGTGTGTTCTCGTCGCCCCTCTGATGCTTAAGTCAGAAAGGGATTATATGCGTGAGACTATAAACTGGAGAATAATGAGAACGTACCTGAATAATGACCCATGGTTCTGTATTTATAGTGGTGGATGACATTCTCCTAGTAGGACTCAACTATCTGGGAATCCTTATCCGATAGAATCCCATGAGAAAGCAGCGTTTGAATCCTACTGTGATTAGGAGACCGATTATTAAGAGAACTATCTTAAATTTAGGAGATGTGGTTTGAGGTATTTGTGTCATATAAGAGTTTTTAGGGGACAGACCTTCTCCATAGTACGAGGAGGATGGTAGGTGAGGACTTCAAGGGATTTTCTCGAGGTCTTATTCCCGAGGACATCCCGTATTTTGTGATAGTTAGTTGAACCATCAAGGTCGGGAAGAGGATGTCCCGAGGACTTAGTGAATCCCGAGCTCTAATGACCGGGTAACGTAAAAGTAGGTTACTTATAGTCATCGGGATTATATCGTGCTCAGGTAATGCAAGGAACGACAGTATCAAATATTATTAATAGACTCGACTGCATGGCCAACTTGCACAACTTTACGCACAAAAAACATATGATGAATAATGTGAAAATTAGCAATCCTGGAATAACATAATAACTTCATTTGACCAAAAAATAAATAAATAAGAGGGTTCCATTGAAAGTTTATGAGAGAATAGAGAAAAACACACACACACACACTCTCTCTCTCTCTCTCTCTCACTGTCAAAATTTGCTAATTTTTTATCAAACAACCCCCAAATCTAATCATGCTTGAACTTCCCTAGGTACCTTATTTTTAGCTCACTTAGGTGTCGGTCCTTAACCTTGGATAATTTGTAAGAATTATTCTACAAGTATAAGAAAAAAAGTAGATAGAATTTGTACAGATGCTGCCAACGGCTACTTTTTGTTTGTATTTTTGTCATCTTTCAATGATAATCTTTTTAAGTGTCTTATATGTATGATTTGTGTGAAAATTATTCTGTACCTATGGCATTTTTGAATTTGTAGACACCAAGACGCCCATTTTAGAAGACTGACCAGTCCAATGGCATTGATCTCAAGGTCCTATACTTGACCCTGTCAAATGACCTCGGGCTCATAGTTGTCCTATATCCAATCCTTGACCCCTCTTAGTACTACCTAGGAGCGAGCGTCCTAACCTCCCAAGTGTCGAATCCAAGCACAATCCTCTTAGTATGCGACCATTGGAATTCTATCAGGAGTCTTGCCATATTGAACAATGCAAGATTCGGTTAGTGTTCAAATCCTCCCAAGTTTACAGAATAAGACTACAGATATGTAGCTTATATTGATTATTGAGGTACGCTTTTACATTCATTTAATTCATACCAATACATACATATTTCTATCCAAGTTTGCTAACTTGGGCATCGAATGAACGATGAGATACTACCTTGACAAATTTGTCTCAAGTACTAGGAAACTCCATTGTGATCTAAGCTCGACCATTCTCAGCTTCAAACTCAACCAGTCACATGCAATTTTTGGTACCATTAGTGCGAATGAAGACATAGAAAATGGGACTCATTCAAGAGCTAAAATAATTGTTTAATTGTTTAATTAGATTTGTTACATTATTCTAAAATCACATATTTCTGCTAACTGTTAATTATTTATCAATTGGATGTGTAAAGTATAAAAGTAATTTAAAAATTAAACAAATTTTTTTAATACTATAAAAATATTTATAATAGCATTTCTTTCAACCAAATTAACGATAATGCCCAACTCCAGTATAAAAAAAAGTCTTCAATAATAGGAAGAAAAAATTGAGATTTAATTTAAATATTAATATAACCTATAAGAATTTCAAATGGAGAGGGTAAAATAAAAATATATCATTTACGAGGGAGATTAGGGTGGGAGCAGTCCAGCCCAGAAACTTTGACAGGCTAGACCGGAAACCGGGCCCAACGAAAATACACGCACGTGGAGAACAAAATTATTAGAATGGAAAATCACTACAGAAATTCATTCTTCATTCAAATTTGCTAGCCGAACTCCCACACCTGTGTGCATGCATCATAAATTAAAACCAAATTAAAGTCTCTACTTCAATTTCAGCTTTAATTTTACTTAAACCACGTCTAGATAAATACGTAACAGTAAAAAAGTAAAAAATGTCCAATACAAATGTATTTTTGGTACACAGTATTGGACAGCACAAGACTAAACAATACGATAGACAAAATTTTCTTGCCTCTTTTTCGTCCTTAATACTGTCCAATACTGTACAAAACCATCTTATCAAACAAGCTGCAAAGGAACAGTTGAGCTTGACACTATTTATCAGCAGCATCCCTATAGAACATATCAGTACTTACCTCGCACTTTTAACCTTTAGCTACAAAATTACAACAATCTATACACGAAGAAAACCAGAGAAAACGATGTGGCATCCATCCTCCAGCCGTCGACCCACTTATCATGTGGGACTGTACCGTAGATGTTTCTCATAGAAGTTTATTAACTGCGTGATAAAGGAAAATAATTTTGATGATATCAATCAAATTGAAGATTATAATCAAAGAACGCCCGTCACACAAGCTGATAACGAAGAAATCAAGATTGGAAGACTCACAAGTAAGGGATTGTTGGCCTTCAAGAATTTGTTGTCCACCATCACTTTAGTTCCGTCAGACCTGTAGGCAGCCATGTTACTGATACTAGCAAACCAAAAAAAGGATTTTCGAAATACATACACAGATTTATAATCAGAAGTGTGCATAAGTTCTATAAAAATAAACCCAAAAAGAAAAGGACTGACATGTTTCAAAATGTTAAGTAAAAGGTTTTCGAACGTTCAAAGAAGAAAATCACATGACTAATTCAAATAGTCACACACCTCACACCACTATATTACTAATTTACAACAAAAACAACTAATGAAGAGCCTATTTGATGTAGATTTTATGAAAACTGATTTTTTTGAAGATTGTATGGTTAAAAAGTAGGAAAAAGTTATGGGTCCACTTGCAAAATTATTTTATTGGAAGAATGTGGGATTGAAAATGAGTTTTAAAGAATCTCTACCAAACAGGAAGCCGTTTACTAGAACTATTCTCATGCTTAAAATAATTATTAGAGGAATTAAGGACTACCAAGTTCTCAAAAAATTAACAATACAATATTGTACTGGCATGTTAATGATACTAGCAAACCAAAAAAAGGATTTTCGAAATACATACACAGATTTATAATCAGAAGTGTGCATAAGTTCTATAAAAATAAACCCAAAAAGAAAAGGACTGACATGTTTCAAAATGTTAAGTAAAAGGTTTTCGAACGTTCAAAGAAGAAAATCACATGACTAATTCAAATAGTCACACACCTCACACCACTATATTACTAATTTACAACAAAAACAACTAATGAAGAGCCTATTTGATGTAGATTTTATGAAAACTGATTTTTTTGAAGATTATTCTAAAATCACATATTTCTGCTAACTGTTAATTATTTATCAATTGGATGTGTAAAGTATAAAAGTAATTTAAAAATTAAACAAATTTTTTTAATACTATAAAAATATTTATAATAGCATTTCTTTCAACCAAATTAACGATAATGCCCAACTCCAGTATAAAAAAAAGTCTTCAATAATAGGAAGAAAAAATTGAGATTTAATTTAAATATTAATATAACCTATAAGAATTTCAAATGGAGAGGGTAAAATAAAAATATATCATTTACGAGGGAGATTAGGGTGGGAGCAGTCCAGCCCAGAAACTTTGACAGGCTAGACCGGAAACCGGGCCCAACGAAAATACATGCACGTGGAGAACAAAATTATTAGAATGGAAAATCACTACAGAAATTCATTCTTCATTCAAATTTGCTAGCCGAACTCCCACACCTGTGTGCATGCATCATAAATTAAAACCAAATTAAAGTCTCTACTTCAATTTCAGCTTTAATTTTACTTAAACCACGTCTAGATAAATACGTAACAGTAAAAAAGTAAAAAATGTCCAATACAAATGTATTTTTGGTACACAGTATTGGACAGCACAAGACTAAACAATACGATAGACAAAATTTTCTTGCCTCTTTTTCGTCCTTAATACTGTCCAATACTGTACAAAACCATCTTATCAAACAAGCCGCAAAGGAACAGTTGAGCTTGACACTATTTATCAGCAGCATCCCTATAGAACATATCAGTACTTACCTCGCACTTTTGACCTTTAGCTACAAAATTACAACAATCTATACACGAAGAAAACCAGAGAAAACGATGTGGCATCCATCCTCCAGCCGTCGACCCACTTATCATGTGGGACTGTACCGTAGATGTTTCTCATAGAAGTTTATTAACTGCGTGATAAAGGAAAATAATTTTGATGATATCAATCAAATTGAAGATTATAATCAAAGAACGCCCGTCACACAAGCTGATAACGAAGAAATCAAGATTGGAAGACTCACAAGTAAGGGATTGTTGGCCTTCAAGAATTTGTTGTCCACCATCACTTTAGTTCCGTCAGACCTGTAGGCAGCCATGTTACTGATACTAGCAAACCAAAAAAAGGATTTTCGAAATACATACACAGATTTATAATCAGAAGTGTGCATAAGTTCTATAAAAATAAACCCAAAAAGAAAAGGACTGACATGTTTCAAAATGTTAAGTAAAAGGTTTTCGAACGTTCAAAGAAGAAAATCACATGACTAATTCAAATAGTCACACACCTCACACCACTATATTACTAATTTACAACAAAAACAACTAATGAAGAGCCTATTTGATGTAGATTTTATGAAAACTGATTTTTTTGAAGATTGTATGGTTAAAAAGTAGGAAAAAGTTATGGGTCCACTTGCAAAATTATTTTATTGGAAGAATGTGGGATTGAAAATGAGTTTTAAAGAATCTCTACCAAACAGGAAGCCGTTTACTAGAACTATTCTCATGCTTAAAATAATTATTAGAGGAATTAAGGACTACCAAGTTCTCAAAAAATTAACAATACAATATTGTACTGGCATGTTAAGTTACAGATTAACTTTTAAACTTGCAGGCAATAGACAGGTTGTGAGATAAAGAGTAAACTAGCCAACACTAGAATTCACCTGTTTTCTAAGATATGATATTGAGGGGAAGCAATTAACAAAGATGAATTCAGTAATTTCTATTTAAATAAACAATTCATTACTTCGAGAAGTCTAAACTCTTGTCGAAACATCCAAAGAATTTAATGCAAAATTCACAAAACAAATAAAATAAAAAATCATTAGCTTAATCACCCCCCCCCCCCCCCCCCAAACAAAAAAATAAATAAATAAAAAGGGTTTTTACCCTTTTTAACCTCCACCCCACCCCCGAAAACAGGGCTCAAAAGTAGTAACCACGCATACCTCTCAAAATTTCTTTGGGCCTATAAAATACCAAAATTTATGATAAGTAGAATTCAAAAAAATCTTAAAATTTACATCTCTGTATTCAGAACACCTAAATTATAGAGATGCAAAATATATGGTAACTATAACGCTCTATGATCAAGTCTGAGTGAAAAGCTCAACGTGGATAAATAATCATCACGCCACATGTGCAAAAATATCATCAGATTCATCCATGCCAATCACTTCAAATGATAGGGAAAAAAAATTCCTCTTGATAATATTTTATGCCTTTATATAACTTGTGCAACAATTTAAGTTTTGTTGCAGTAAGACGGGACATAGAAATAAGAAATATCTAACATCCATTATTTTAAGAAATAATGAAAGATTTTATGTTGATGTAGAAGGAATCATTCTACCAATAAAGAATCAAGAG